ACTAATGGATCAAGCATTTACAAAAACAATTAGTAAATGTATATAGCAAACATTTTTTTTTTAATTTGAATTTGACTATCAAACATTTTTCTCTTTTAAGCTATAATATTGAGCAGTGTCTCCAACATGGTTTCGATTAGAATATAATAACTCAGGATCAGGAACTAGAAACCTTTAAAAATTAATTGATGATACCACTTCCCTATCAGCTGAATATAGTGCTATTACAGTTCTGAAAAATTAGGAGGCCATTCTTGGTGTTTTTAAAAATCTGCATTTTTAATGTAACCTAGTGCTAAACACTTGGGTCTGTGGAGCAATGAAGGACTAATAGCTGTGATATATGCATTGTGATTTCGTATACCGCACGAAGTTGAAAAGCTGCTTTTAGCCACGGGTATTTGCTGTTTAGATAGAGCATGTTTAGATAGAGCATGTTGATAAGATCAATTTGAGTGTCTTTGGTTTTTCATAGAATATATGTTCTATCCTCAGGTTTTTATCTTGTTTTGAAAAGTTCTACACTTTCTTGACTGGTCTCATTTTTAGAAAGATGTAAATCTATGAAAGCACCAGGATAAATTTAAACATTGTGGTTAAACCTGTATTTAAACACATCTTTCCAGGGCCTGAATGTTTTTAAATGTTTCCACACTGGGGGGAAAAGATTTTTAGAATGATTCTTACAATTAACTGTTTTTTTTTTTAATTAAAACCTCCAAATTAACAATCTTTTATAACTAGAATAAAGACATATACCCATAATAAATTAAGTGTTGGTTGTACTTTTAAAATACAGCATTGAAGTTTTCTGAGGAGCATCTTCCAGGACCGAAATCTAATGTTTTACATTGTAACAAATTTACAAATAGGGTACACTGTTCCCCTTGCCTCCTTGCTTTCTGCCTCCATGCCTATTTTGCTATGCAAAAGCTTTATGTCAATTTACTTTTTGAGCCATTTAAGACCAAACCAAATTATTCCTCCAGCACATTTTAAACAATCCCTTAAAGACCTCTTTTTCTTGGCTATGTTTCCAATCTTGGCTTATCACTATAATATTTCATGCTCCATGCTTCTGAAAAAATTCAATATTCAAGAACAAAGTAATCCGGAGCTTTACTCCATTTCAGTCTTTTTATGTCCTAAGGCTGTCCCAACTCAATGACCCAGTTTTTATTGTGTCACATCTCACTGTCTGTTGCTGACTGCGACCAGCTTGCCTAATCCTTTTCCTGTCCCTTATCAGTTTTCCCTTAATTCAAAAATCTTTTTTTTAAATTCTTTGCACTTCTTTCACAGCTTTTAGTTTAGTTTTGTTTTGTTTTTTCCTCCTTAGGAGATTCAGTGTACCTGTGGTAGCCACTCAGAAATACAAAGATGAATGGGTAACCAAGGTCCAGAAGTCTGTCCTTATCAAAATTTTCATTGTACTATCTTTAGAAGTGTGAGTGGTAAATGGCAGAAAGTGGATATTATAATTTGGCATCATGCATCAAGAGTCCTTAAAAATGTTCATACCCTGTGATCCAGCAATTTCACTTCTGAGAATCTAGCTTATTAATTAGTCATTTAAGACGTAGAAAAAGCAACATACATGAGATCTCATTACAATGTTATGTATAAAAGCAAAAGAAGAAAACAATGCAAATATCCAATAGGAGAGAAGTTTAAAAAATTATCATCTATCTCCTTGATGGAATATTGTGCAATCATTTAAGATGATGGCTATGTGACTGGGTAGAAAGATGGGTAAATATTTATGTTTCCAGAAAAACAGAGTGCAAAATTGTAAGTGCCAATGATTACAACTATGTTTCTAAGATTTACAAAGGGAAAACAGCAGGGAAGCATGACATTTGCTGAAGTGCTTATTTTAGGGTGGTGGAATTAGAGATGATTTTTCTTTACTCTCAAAATCTTGATTAAATTTCTTTTAAAAGTTGAGTTTTTAAAAGCTATAATTTTAACTAATGTAAATTAAGAACCTATTTCGGTTATGTCAAATAAAATGTATAAGACTACTTCAGATAGAGCTCTATTTAAGTCTAGTAATTAACAACTGGCAAGGGGCAATAAGACAGTGAGGGCATCATTGTGTTTAGCATTGTGTGTAATCCACAAAAAAAATGCATTAGGAAAAAACTTTCAATACCTATTTTAAAATATAAAGTGATTTTTTTAAAACTTTGTTCTCTCCAGAGTTACTTCCATCAAATCAACATCTAATCCAAACTTTCAATCCATTTCCACAGTCTTCAGAGAGATCTTTCTGGAACCTCAATCTGTTTGTGATACTCCACTGTTTAAATCACTCAGGGATTCAGAATATTAAAATTTTTAGCTTGGGTGCCTGGGTGGCTCAGTTGGTTAAGCGACTGCCTTCGGCTCAGGTCATGATCCTGGAGTCCCGGGATCGAGTCCCACATCGGGCTCCCTGCTCAGCAGGGAGTCTGCTTCTCCCTCTGACCCTCTTCCCTCTCGTGCTCTCCGTCTCTCATTCTCTCTCAAATAAATAAATAAATAATTTTAAAAAAATAAAATTTTTAGCTTACTAGCTGCTCCCAAGCTTCTCTTTTTTTTTTTTTTTTTTAAAGATTTTATTTATTTATTTGACAGAGAGAGACACAGCGAGAGGGAATACAAGTAGGGGGAGTGGGAGAGGGAGAAGTAGGCTTCTGACGGAGCAGGGAGCCCGATGTGGGGCTCGATCCCAGGACCCTGGGATCATGACCGGAGCCGAAGGCAGACGCTTAACTGACTGAGCCACCCAGGCGCCCTGCAAGCTTCTCTACCTTATTCTGTGTCCTTTCTTCTCATGTACCCTCCCCACCAGCTTCACCAAACTCCATGTAATACCTGAAACCACACTCCAAGTCACTATATCTCTGTCTCTTCATACTGAAATGAACAGTTAATACCTACTCATTCTTCAAATCTCAAGTGTTCCTTTGGGAAGGCTTCTCAGATTCTCCATCTTCTCTATGTCCCTTCTCTGTAATCCCGCAGTGCCCATTATATTGTGCTATCACTCATTTGTTCATCTGCCTTTCCTACCAGACAGTACATTTGTTCTTGTTCACAGGCAAGTGCGAGTGTGTATGTGTTTAACCACACCCCCAGCACCCCTCACCATGTTCCCTTCCTGTGCTCTGACAATGAAAGGAATAGCATCTGCTAAGTAATGTTGATGAAGGGCCAACATACTAATAATCCCGGACACTAGATGCTAGGAACAAAGAGGGGAGATGTGCTGGAAGTGAAGGACTACTATCTGTCAGGTACTTATCAGGTAGAAATTGTTCAGTGCATCTCCCTGATGAAGTTAGACTTTCCTACTTTGTCTTAGGGATGTCTTGCAAATATTTTACCTCCCACATCATACACCTGAGCAGCGGGAGCGGTCTTAGTTGTCTGGAACCCTCCACTATGCCCTTTCACATACTAGGCATTCAAACACATGATGATGAAAATCCAATTTTTAAAAATCATTCTGATCTATAGAAATTTGCATCCACTTTGTCTGTGATGAGAAAAAGCCTCTGGAATAAAAAATATGTGAAAGACAAAATATTTGTGAAGGTCAACATCCTAACTAGAAATTTTCAGAACAGTGTTGTGGACTCCTAGAGAGAAAGATGTAGTAGGAATTAAGAAGAGACAAACTTATTCAAATAAAATAAAAACAAGGACTGCATGAACTCCAAAAGTTGACATGTAAATATCTTCTCTCCCTCAATTTTCATATGCTTCCATAGGGAACCAGGTATCCTTCAACAGGAAATATTTTTCAGCCTGACACAAAATCAGGGTTTCATAGTTTAGAGGAAAAAACAAATGACTTGGTCATGTTCTCAATTGACTTTCTTACTTTCTTTTTCCCACCCTTATTATGTTTGCATTTTAAGCAATATATTTACTATAGCAAAAAAAATTTTGTAGAAAATTTTAATAAATCATTTACCAAAATTTTTATAGCCTTTAAATTTTTTTGATTGACCCTAATATTTTAGCTATTAATCTTTTAAAACTAAAGTTTAAATGTATCAGAGGCTCTGATATTTAAGATGAAAGCCTGGAAATAGCTGTTAAATAGTCTTTCTTGATCATCCCTTAATTTAACTGCTACAAAGACTTAATGTTCTTATTTTATATTTTCTTAAAGAATCACCTATCTATTCTCATCTGGAAACAAATGCAAACAAATGTAAGTTTTAGAAAAATATCCAAACATTATTGTATTTTGAATTTCAAATTATTGGAGTATACCGAGTAACTACTTTAGTAGAACGGAGAAGTTAAACAGCCAGTGCATCCGGGGAGAAGTCTTTGACTAAACTTTATATATAATAATAGGAAGCAGAAATGATAAAATTAGCACAATTAGTTTAGTCAGGTGTAATTAAGAAGTAAAAACATTTTAAAAAATTGAGCAATATAAGAATAAGGCAAAACAGGGGGATACTAGGACAAGCCTGGATCATAGGAAAGGAAAATTGAAAGGAATTCTTTTTTTTAAATGTAGCTACAACCGTCTCTCAGTAAAATACATTACAGGCACATTTCCCTGTAGGAAAGAAGAAAATATTTTATCTCTGAAGACAATCCAATAATCACTAAAAATAATGTTCAGATACACCCATGCAGCTTTATTCTTAACAGAATTTCCTTAAATAGGTTTCTCCTATTAGCAAGGGAACGTGCTGATTTAAGATCATGAGTATAGTCCCCTTGCCCATATCAGCTCTCACTGTGTATTAAGAAGAACCCTACTTTTCAAGTCAAGCCTCATGTGAATTTACTGGCTATGAGTTCTTCAGTGAAAACTGATTTAGTAGATGAGATCACAAAGGTTAATGTGCCTAGTACAGTGCTCACTACATAAAAGGCTCTCTAATGTATATATTTTTCTCTTTCCTTCCCTGACAACCCTGTAATAAAAATAATAAACCCATAGCCCAAAAGAATTATACGAGACAAGAATGATGTGTTGCAAATACTTTAACAGAAATATTTCATAATTTATTATAAAGACATCTTGAACACCACCATGAGCATGGTTTTATGAAAATTACGATTTTATGATTTCCTAAATACCATGATAATCCACCTGTTTTTAACCTCAGTATAAAAGCTAAGAGTAGGGTTAGAATTTAACCTTAGCAGATATGAAAATTTGGTGTCTTGATTTACAAATATAGTTTAATACACCAGAATATTGACAAGAATTGCCATGTGCTTCAGATATACTGCCAAGACATGAACAGCCAACAAGTTTAAAAGAAATATACACATTTCTAGTCTTAGGTGCTAACTAGAAATATTCCCGTAAAGCTGGTAAACTGTGACTACCAACACCAGTTTCTACACACCTGAAAAGTGGACAACAAAAATATTAAGATATTTGGCACAAGGTGGACAATATCTAGGCTTTAGGGTTGACTTACTATTTTCATGTACTGTACAGTCATCATTGCCCCCAACTTTGGAATTTCAGACTTAGAGAATATACAGTTCAAAACACTTGCTTTGTCCTTCTTCTCATGCTAGAACTCTGATGTTTTCCTCTTTGCAGTCTGGTAGAAAAGCTGATCTTTCAGCTTTTCACTCAACAGCATTGGGTCAAATCTCTTCTATACAGGATCTCATTCTTGTCATGCCCCCTCTATATGCAGAGAGCCGGTCAAAGTCTTGGAGTTGGAAACGAGTTGCCAACTGATTTACCATTTTCCTCAGGGTAAGAAAGGCTGAAACAACTTGGAAAGTAAGGAACAAAGTGAAGATGATGTGTATCGCTTTTTCCAAGGGCAGATTTGTTAGGCCTTCATTAAAGAGCAAGAAGAGAATTAAAGGCAGCTGCAATAAAAGGCTCAAAAGCCAAAAGCCAGCCAACTCAGGAACCTGCAATGACACACAGCAAGAGTAATCAGATCAGTAAAGGACAGTCTTTTGTTTATACAGATCAGCACTATGAACCTACATTATGAGCTCTGTAATTCAAAAGGAATATAACATGGTCCTTGTCCTCAAAGAATTTACAGTCTAGATCAAAAGTGAAAAGTAACTGATGCAGCAATGCTAGAATGATATACCTTAGTGAATTATTAAATGCACCACTTAGTGGTATGAACTAAATACTAAAAGAAATAAGACAAGAGAGTGATTAGGGTAGGTAAAAGAATCCAAGGATGTAGGCTTTTAAAGTTGGGTAGAAGGAGGAAGAGGCAAGAAGGTAAATAAGCAAATATGTGCAATGGGGATGACTAGGAATCAACATGTCAGCCTGGAATGGATGCCTGGGTTAGGAAATAGCAAAAAATACAGTGAGGCCTGTGGGTGGGACCTAATTATGAAGGGCCTAGAAAACCAGAGAAATCTTCAGGCATTATCCCTAAGCTCTGGTAACTGTAAATGCTTAGGCAGCATGATGATTCAGAAAACGTGTGCCTGGCATAAGATTCCTGAATTTACAGTTTCCCCCCATTTTCATAATCAGGATCTAAACATGTTTAGTTGACCAAGTATTTTCAAGACTGGTGAGAAGAGGGAAAACTGTCAATTCTTAAGTGCTTATTACTATGTTCAGGTACTTTATATAAATTATTTCATTTAATCCCAACAAAACTTGGAGTAAATATTTTCCCCATTTTATATACAAAGAAACCAAGGCTCAAGAGATTCAGCCAACAGACTACAGTGACAGAAATAGTCAAGTTGGAGGCAGGCCTTTGCTCCTTCCACCACCTCTCTCTGCCTTCTCCTCGCTATGAAAACCATATTGCCTTTACATGTTGCACTGAGAGAAAGGGAAGAAGGGCCTACCTTTTCCTGTAGGTTCCCCACGTAGCCCAGATACAACCTGATAGCTTCAATTAAGGTTATTAAGATGATAACAGTGACCACAATGAATTTGTAGTAATCAGGCAAGACTGAATACTAAAAAAAAAAAAACCAAAACACACAAAAATAAACATGTTTGTATAATCTCACATGTAGTAAAACTGACCTGAAATAGAAAACAAATATTAAGAACTTTAATTTTATTGACAGTGTAACAATGCCAGGGATGGGCAGAAGAGATCTCAGCAGAAGTATTAAAGCACAGACTTACCTTCATCTGAAGCATCATAATGCTGCTTACCCACCAAAGTGGGAAAAAGTAAGTGTTAAAATAAAGTGACATCTGCAATGCCAAACTGGACACCATTTCATTATCTACAAAAGAAACAGAGAAAAAGAACAAACTCTTCATCTTGGTCACTGCCCTATAAGTCCTTTAGTTTCTTAAAATTAATAACTACAGTGTTGGTTCAACAAAACTCCAAATTTTAAGCCTATTTATAATCACTGACAGTGAAAGGAAATATTCATCACAATACTATTTAATTCATATATTGGGTTCTTGGGGGTATGTTTCATATTTTTCAATTACTTTATCATTTTTGCCATTACAGCCTGTTGACTTTTTTGCACACCACTGGTATAGATTAAATGTGGAATATCAGTATGAATCCTATTGAACAGATAATAATGATCATTACCTCTTTTGTAGAGTTCTATGTGAAGAGCCTATAAAATATATAAAAACTAATCTCTCACATAAAAACTAATCTCATACAAAAACTAAATTATAGACACACCCCTCTTCAGCATACCCTAATCCCACCCATTCATTAATACTCAATTTAATGCCACCTTTCCCATAAATCCTTTCTTGATCCTATTCTCCCACCCCAGCAGAAATCTCTTCCCCTCTAGGTACTTATCTCTAACCTGTGTGTAAGAAAGTGTTAGCAAAGAACCACATCCCCTCACTCTAGACACAGTCTAGTGTGCTGAAGAGAACATGAGCTTTGGAGTCCAAGTAAACCCGTAATTCCTCAAATACCCGTGTAACCCTGGATGCCAGACTTGGGATAAGTTATTGAACCTTTTTGATTAATTTCTCAATAAGAAATGGTCTCAATTTCTTCATCTGTAAAATGGTAACACTGAAAGTACCTCACAGGTTGCTTGTGAAGATTAGAGACAGAATTATTTCACCCTACCACCATGCCTGGTACTTAGTAGGTACTCAATAACATTAGTTCCCTTTCCTTCTCTTTTACTTAATACACAGCCTCATTGTAAGCACAGACTACATTCTACCCAAATGTGAGACCCTCATAGAACCTAAAATCTTGCTTTATACAGGGTACATACCAAATATGCATATGCAGAATGACTGAATTAATGGAAACGTAATATCATAGAGACATCAGTGTAGCCATTTGTGATACATGAGCTTCATTTATCTAAGGCTGACTGCAAGATACCTTTTGCTTCTATGTAAGGGAGAAGGGTCCCAAAATAAGAATTTGATTTTTTAAATTAAGCCCTTCAAATACATCCTAAATTTGACTAAATTTCAACAATTTAAAAACAGATATGTATTTTGAAATCAATTGCCCTAAATGTAAGAATTTATAAAGGCTCCAAAATAAATTTCTTAAAAACAGATTTTTTTTCTCCACACCTGACTATATCTGTCATTTAATAATTTTAAAATATAAGAAATAATCATGGTCTCTCACAGCAAGGTTTCCTTTAGCTTTTTTCTGTTATTATGATCTACTTTTGCTTATACTTATTTTTATTTTGCTTATTCCTATTTTTAAATTATCACTGATAAAGAATGAATTCTTAAAATTTGTTAAACTTGAAGGCAAATCACCAGCCTAGGATTTTTCTTCCTAACAACAGTACAACTCTTGATCAGTGGACAGGGTAATGGTATACACTTGTAAATACAGTGCAAATAATCAAACCTACTTTGGATTCACAAGGAAGAAAATGTGGGAAAAAATGATAAATTAGTTAAGCTGAAAATTTTAATATGTTTGGAGCAGAAAGTAGTCAAATTTTGCAAAGAAGTTTTTATGTTAAGAAATTGTGTACATGAGCATCTTAAGAGTTATGCTATGTCTATATTTCGGCATTTCAAACTTAAAATCAAGCAACTGAAAATCAAGTTAATATGCAAATGAACCTTGAAAGCACAAGACATGAATTTACTAAATTTTGCAAAAGTACAAGTTGAGTTCTGTAAACGGAATTTAAATTAAAACATTATATAAATCAGGGGTAGGCAAACTACCAGCCAGCTGCCTGTTTTTGTATAGCAAGTGAGCTAAAAATGGTTTTTCACATTTTTAAATGGTTGGGGAAAAAAAAATCAAAGAATAATATTTGGTGACACTGAAAATCATATGAAATTCAAATTTTAGTGTCCATAAATAAAGTTTTATTGGAACACTGCCTCATCTATGCATTTACCATTAGCTATGGATGCCACAGAGACCTATGGCCTGCAAAGTCTAAAATACTTGCTATCTGGCCCTTTACAGAAAATCTCCGCTGACCTGTGATACCTTACATCATCAGATTTTAGCGCCTGTTAAGCCTTAGCTTTAGAATCAGAAACTTAACCTCATTTTTCACATTGATTTCTCTGTACATCCTAAATCTTGAAGAGGCCTAAATTCAGGGTGAAAACAATGCAACTATGGGAATTTACTTTTCTCTGCTCTCTTTTAAAAATCCCTAAACCAAGCAAGAGGAAAAGATTTCTATTCCCTAGCAGACTTTAGTGATAAAAACCACATGGATCTGGTTGATAGTACGCTATCATCATGATTTAAGAAGGGGAAACTGTTTTGGAGGAAACTGAGTGATCACTTGCCGTCAGGTTGAATGCAACACGGTGGTATTTTGTTACCAGATTTAGGGTAAGAGTTATATATGGGGGATGGGGGTTGGAGGTTGGAGAAGGCAGGGAAGGGAGCGAGCTTTGTTGAAAGCGAGGCTAGTGTGGCTGCTGTCATGCTGAAGTGGATAGCGGTTTTTAAAACGACTCATTAAAGCAATTCTTTCCACCTCTTTCATCAGAAAACGGACTTGCGGTGGAACGTACTTGCTTTGCTAATAAAAGAGAAAAGGAGAAGATATTTTAAACAGAGTGGGGTGTGCGAAGAGGAGACTGCCTGCGCTGTTTTCACTCTAACCTGGCCCGAAAAGCCAGGGCGGAAGTCGCAGAGGAAAAACACCGTCGGCCTTCGCGGAGGATGCGAAACCGGACATGGGCTGCGAAGGCGGATTTTATATTTTTAGTTCTTGAGGAAGGGTAGCGCCACCTCAGCTGCTCGGCTTACAGTTCGCCGGCCAGGCCGCAGCACCGCCAGCTCAGGACCCGTTGGGGATACAGGCCTGGAGATGTCCCAGTCCCCACCCCAGCCCAAGGCTCGGCCCCTCCTCCAGGGCGCTTCACCGCACTGCGGAGAAACAGCTGAAGGCGAGGCCGCCATTTTAGGTCCGGGCAAAATCTGGCCACTCCCAAACCCGCGCCAAATCCTCCGCAGGCCATACCCGCTGCGCTGGGCCTCGCCCACTCACCCGGACCCTCGCTGTACTCCGGCCCGGTCCGGTTGGAGTCACTGAACACGGTCCGGCTGAAGTTTCCCAGCCGCTGGCGGACCGGATCCGGCAGCTCCATGCCCGGGGCTCGGTACAGCTTACAGCTAGGTCTGCGGACGCAGCCTCCTTCTGCGGTTCCCACGGCAACCGGGCGGTGCGAGATGCTGGGGCCCAGGCGCACGCGCGGCCGCACTGCGGGGCAGAGGCGCGGGGCGCGAGCGCCTGGAAAGGAGAGGTGTGAGAATCGCGTCCTGCTTAGCGCCTCAGCGGGTGTGGAACGGCAGATTCCTTAGTCCTGTTTTAAGCCCCACCATCTTTTTTTTTTTAATCTTAAAAACAAATAGAAATAATAATAAATGACCTGAGGTTGGATTGTGATACAAGGAGCCCTCACACCTTGCCAGTGCGTTGTAAGCTTTCTGGAAGGAAATACAGAACGAATGTAGAGCTTAAAGAATGTTCACGACCTGGTGGTTCCTTTCCTAGGAATATATATTTTTAAATTTTTATTATTTTATTAACATATACCGTGTAGGCATGTAAATAAAATATTTTAAATAATGTATAATATATATAATGTATATTCCTAGAACTCTGTGTGTATGTATATATATGTGTGTGTGTGTGTATATATATACATACACACACACACCCACATTTGATGGAATATATTGCTGCATCTTAAAAAAAAACATGCTTGCAATGAAAATTTGATTAAATGGATTAGCTTTAAGTAAAAATAAAAAAAATAAGAAAAACTAAGAAGTGAACCTAATTTTGCAAAATGTGTGTGTGAATATGTGAGGAGCAGAGGTGGAGGAAGTGGCACAAGCACTGTGGCTTAAAAAAAAAAAAGACTAGAAGGAAATAATCCAAATGTTATTATTTATTTCTGGGTTGTGGGTGATTACAATTCTTTAAAAATTTTTTTATCTTCCAGCTTTTTCTTAAATAAGATGTATTACTTTTTAAAAAAACTATTTAAGTGGGGCACCTGGGTGGCTCAGTCGGTTAAGCTGTGGATTCTTGATTTTCCCTCAGGTCATGATCTCAGGGTCCTGGGATGGAGCTCCCAGGGTAGGGCTTCCGAGTTTGCTTGTCCCTCTCCGACTGCTCCTTCACCGCCCGCAGCCCCCCGCCCCCGCTCTCTCAGATAAATTTTGAAAATCTTTTTTTTTAAAAAAAGGTATTTAAGTATAGTATACTTAAAGAAAAGGACACAAACTGAATATCCATGTGTAACCAGCACTCCGATCAAGAAACAGAACCTTAGCAGCACCTCCGGGCAGCTTCCCCTTCCTATTCCCTTACAGTTAGTGACTGTGAGTAACAGAGCTTTCCTAACTTTTAATAGCAAAGAATAGTTTTGCCTATTTGTATGCTTTTTGCAAAAGTCATCATATAGTAAGTGCTTTTTTAAAAGAAAAATCTGCCTCTTTGTCCTCAAAATAATTTTTAAGAAATTCTTTCCTATTGTTGAGTGTAGGTTCTTTTTCCTTGCTGTTTGTGACATACCACAGTAAGTTTATCCATTCTACTGTGGAAGAGGATCTGTGTATTTTCTAGTTTGGAGCTGTTATGTATGAATAATGCTGCTTTTGGTGAAAATATTCCTCTGAGTGAACGAACATATGCATGCATTTGTGTTGAGCTTATTCCTAGGAGTAGAATTGCTGGCTTATGAGGTATGACTCAGCTGTAACAGATACTGCTAATGGTTTTTGGTTGTACCAATTTCTACTGCCTCCAGCAATGTTTAGGCATTCCTGTTGCTCCAAATCCATCACCATCACTTGTTATCTTCTATCCTTTTCTCTTAGCCATTCTGATTGGTGTGTGGTGAGCAGTAGTATTACTTTTACAATCGAAAGGAAACCCACACATATTTACGTAAATGTCAAGGTATATTTAGGAAGGTATGGGAGGAGATAGCTACATGGCTAGAATTTCAAAAATAATTCAACAAATGTTTGATGCATTCCTACTATTCTGGGGGCATTGTACTAGGTTAATTAGGGATATGGACCCTCCTTCTCAAGAAGCTCAGCCCAGTGAGAGATGTAGAACAAATAAGTATGTACACATTAGTAAAGGAACAGAGACGAGGAAGCACTTAATTCTGATTGGGGATGTGAGGGGAAAGATGGCTAACTTCTGCTTCTCTTCAGCATGGAGCCTAAGCCTTGGCATCTCCAAAAAGGCTCCAGGACCTCCCTGAAGCTGGCTTACGTGGCTTCTCAGTGTTTCTTAAAGCATCTTCTTCTGTGTTACTTTGGTCACAGTGCTAGTCCTGCTGTACTGGAATTGTCTATCTGTATCTGTTTTGCTTGCTAGTTCACAAGCTTTTTATGGTCAGGGATGACCTTTCACCTTTATATCCTGAACACTAGCACAGTGCTTGACCTAGAGTGGGAGCTGGATAACTACTGAATGAATAAAGGGAATAAAAGATCTAAAGACCCATATCTTCCCATTTCTAGTTTAAGGATTTAGCCAGTCCTTACATAGGGTTCATTCTATAGAATAGAGAATTGATATATTAAAACACAGTGAGTTATAGTGTCCCCTCAAAATTTAAACTTAGCAACAAAGAATTTTCATTTATTAAATTAGCCAAGATTTTTATAAAGGGCACAGAAGTAGGAAGCCTCATGCTTGCTGATTGAATTATAATTTGAACAATCTTATTGAGGGAAGCTTTTGACAGTATGTACAAATTGTCTTAAAAATATTTCTGCCTTTAACACAATAATCCAAATTTTAAGGCTCTGTTTTGGGGATATAATCATAAACACTATAAATAAAGTTTTATATACCAAGATATTACTTCCAACATTATCAATATTAAAACAAACAAAAAAAAGGAGAGGGGCAGCATCTGAAGTGCCCAACCACAGGCCTAGTTAAGCAGAATATGATATTCATGGTGAGGTTTTGGGCTATAGTGGAAAAAAAATACCCCTGGAAGCAGAGATAGCAGGGTTCAAATCATCTAAAATTCTCACTTTACCACCCGAGAGCTGTGCAATGGAATTCAGACTTTTGTTTTATAAATTGAGAATAATGGTAACTTACTGTTATGGTTGATGTGAAGATTATATCAATAGAAAAGGCTTTCTATTAGTGATAGCTATCATTGACACATCTATTAAAATGATGTTTGCGAAGAGGAATCACCTACAGTGGAGTGAAATCATGCCATCATTTGATTTTCTGAATTCGACTGTACCTGCTAGGCAATATCTCCATTGCTTTCCTAGTAAAGACAGTGGATGTGATGAACCACAAAACAGTACATGTGTGTTAACCAAATTTATCAAAAGCCTGAGCAAATTCTCTTAAAGATTTTTCCTAGCATTTGAAAAAGGATGTGGAACACCTTGTTCAGATTGCAATTATTTCATCAAAATCCTGGAGGAAAAAATTGATAGATTTATGGGTATTTTCCCTTTAAATTTTATTTATTATTTAAATTTCCCATAATAAGCATGCATTTCATAGTTTGAAATAAATCTTATTAAAATAAACTGAAAGGAAGAGGCAATGATGGCACAAAAATATATTAGAGAAGAGTTTTAAGAGGAAAAATTGTGGTTTAAAAAGAATCCTGTCATTGATGTCACAAATGTCCAAAGGGCTGAAAAAAACCTTCCAAATATTATTTTGTTATTTGATGCTCACAATATTTATAGGCAATCACGTTAGTGAAATACTGAAAAACAAAGAAGGGAATTCACCTTCATGGAATCAACAGACTAAAATAATTTGTGTTTCCCATATCCTAGATCTATTACTCAATCTAAAGAGAAGTATGGAGTCTTCATTCTTAAAATCATGGGAATCATTCCGAGAAAGATTAATAAATAACCCTATAAAGTTAAACTGTTTACTTTTTATATGAATGTTGATGGTCAGAGTAATAGCTTCTTCTCCAATAATTGCTTAATGTTTTTCACTGGGGTTTAATTACATGTATGGTTTACTTTCCTAAATATTTATTTTCACAAAAATTTTGAGCCTAGTGGAATAGTTTCTCTCTCTTTGACAAGAGGCAAAGTTGTCTGGTTATAATGTCTTATCTCATGTGACAGGAAACTGATTTGAGGAGTTATTTAAATCACTCCTTGGCATAATAAAGATATAAAGTCTTACCTTTTGATGCTAGTAAAGACTTTAGAAACAATATTGTACATTGAACATGTTATTCAATTTATTGCTTTAAAATGATCTGTGAGACATTTCTAAGAATTTATATAAATCTAAAAAATATATATTTGGGTATAACATCTGATATGATTCTACGTCAGCCTCCACATTTAAAAAAATCTTACTGTAAATTACCTGAAATGTATAATTATACAAATGTATAATTATAATCTTGAAATTGTTAATGGATAATCAAAAGCTTTTTGAATCTCAAGTACAGTATATTCTATTCATAATATTTTTCAAAAGTTTATAAGAAAGAATCAGGCTATGGATTACATAGAAAGTCAAATCTCATGAAAGGATTTTTTCTTACCATATTAAATGATACTTGAAGGCTGACTTTAATATTTTGTCTTCTTTTTTTTTTAAGATTTTATTTCTTTGACAGAGAGAGACACAGTGAGAGAGGGAACACAAGCAGGGGGAGTGGGAAAGGGAGAAGCAGGCTTCCCGCTGAGCAGGGAGCCCTATGAGGGGCTCGATCCCAGGACCCTGGGATCATGACCTGAGCCGAAGGCAGATGCTTAACGACTGAGCCACCCAGGCCCCCCTAATATTTTGTCTTCGAAGGCATCCCCATTGAACATTTTTATTAGAAAATTCTTTCCCTTTTAAGATGCTGTGTATATGACAGTTTTTTGGTTCTGTGGCATTTCTTCGTGTTAGACAAACACACTGCTCATCTGCTATGGCAAACAGCTGTTCCATGCATCAAACTATGTGGGAGATGGGAATGACAAGCCTGGGAAGATCAGCAAAGCAAAGTCTCCTTCAGGAAACCTCAGATCTGTCAAGTGAATTGTGATACTGATTAGAAGCAAGTGGCCATTTTATTGAATAATAAATTTCATTTTTAGTAATGATAGTATTACTGTACTAAATATTTTTATATTACATTGTGTAAAATGTACATCATGTTTCTCTTTCTAGAAGA